AACCATCCTATTACTGCCTGTCCCGTGTGTGGAGTTGGGTGCCAGTCTGGCCAGGATAAAGAGGTCATCAGCCGTGCTGCTGATGTCGCTGTCAGAGCAGTTGTGCCATGGTGGGGCCTCCTGGCTCTGCTCAGAGTTGCAGTGACAAAGAGGAGGCACATTTGGGCAGGAGACAGCTCTGCTGGGGGCTGTGCATCATTTGTACTGTAGTAGTTCTGAAAAGTCTTGATTATTTTAGCTCCTGTGTTGGGCTAGCTTCAAACCAAACCATGTTATTAATGACTGCCTCAGCTTAAACTTGTCATCTCATTCGAGGAGGAGACAAACAGGCAAGGGCTGGGATGGAGGAGGAGGGATAATGTGCAGACCAGCCCGTGACAGCAGCAGCAACTGCTGTCAGCTCAACCACTGGAGCTGTTGCTGGTGCTGCGAGGGGCTGGTGTTACATGTTCTGGGGAAACATGACCCAAGAATGAATGCTCTTAAATTTCAGCCATGGAACTTGTGCTTATACTGGAAAAAGTGGTGAACTTAGGCACTGGAATAGGTTCCTAGAGGGGAGTGTGGGGGGATTTACTTAGAGTTCATGGACTCTCTGGGAAAATGTGCTCTCAATAAAGTTTTAGGTAGAGTTGAATCTGTCTTGTTAGCAGGGTCTCTTCAGGGTCTTTAAGCACAGTTCTGGTGAACTTAATCAGTTGTGAGACCTGAATCCATCTCTTTGTTTTGTTTTGAATTTTTGCAGAGCAAGGAGAAATGTCAGACGTTTGCTTAGCATAAAACACCTTTCCAGGGTCTCCAAGACTCCAGCTTACCTGACAGAATAGAAAGCAGGATTATGTTATTAGCATGTTACCTCTTCTTTAAAACCTTCTCATTGAATTTCCGCACTGTTGCACGACTCCTTCTGTGGATTAACATGACACGGAGTTGATAAGTGGTGCAAAGAAAACCAAGATTTCAGGACACGTATTTCACTGCAAGTGCCACATATTTAGTGTGATAGACGTTTTGCTTTGCAATTAGGCTGCATGCTTATGTACTCTAATCTGCAGCAATTTTTGCTCTATTAATAACCTATTAGTAGCCTGCAGTGAATTTTCTATACATCACCGCTTCACAAATTATTGAACTTCCTCTCACAAGTTTCATATGAACTAAAACAAATTATAGCAAAAGGGGTGAGGAAGATTGCTTGTATAGAACAGGTGAAATCTGACTTCAGGATCACAAATTGAAAAATACAGATGCTGACTGTGTCCCGTTTCAGGCTTTGGTACTTTCCCCCTCCCCATGCAGTCGTGCAAAGAGCACACACTCCAGTTTGGGTCACCAGTGCCAGCAGCAGGCAGGTAAATCATGGCCCCAGGTATTGCTTGTCATTCCAGCTGCACTGCAAATCCTATGGTCTTTTGAGCCCAGGTGCTGTTTAATACCTTGCCCTGGCTTTTATAAATGGTGTGCAAAAAAGAGGCAGAGGTGATGATACCTCTGCTGCTGATTGCGCTGTCATTGTGGGTCATTAGTCTCTGCCTCGCTCTGAGCCTTCCAAATGAGCACTCTGCCATTGCTCTGCACCTGGCACAGCTGTACCTGCACCTCTGCATCTGTGGGATCCAGGCTGTCCCTGCAAACCTGGAAGCCGGGGGAACACAGGGCTCCTGGCAGTCATTACATGAGCAGGGGCCAGGAATGTGTCTGTCCACCTGTGGACATGTAGCTGCTGGGCAATTGTCCAAAGTGATGGGTTTCTACAGAGTGACTTTCCACGATGATCTGTTGTGGTTTTCAGCTGGGACAGTCACCACTGATTTTTGTGCTATGGAAGAGATTCTTAGACTGACAGTCTGGGGCTTGTGTGTTCAGACTGGTGCCTGGTCTAGGTACACAGGAAGATCTCTGCTTGCAGCCGTGTGGTTACATCAGCTCTGCCTGAGTCTATACGGGCAGCAGCTTGGTCCTGGCAGCCCATGGTCCCCTGGGACTGTGCTGCTGACAGACTCTGTGGACTGGGTTGTTCTATAATTTGGAAGGCAGCCCAGGGCATCTTGTAGACCTGGCACAGGTCCCATGAGCTGATGGTGTTGCTTGCAGTCAGGCTATGGGCTGTTCCTTGGGCGCTCTGGCCATTGAGGTTTTTGGCAGCGTCGCTCCCAGGTTCCTGCAGAACACATTCCCTGACCCTTGAAGGAATGCAGGCTTTCCCTCCAGTCTCAGTTTTGAGAGTCACAGAAGCAGGTTAGTGTGGTCCCCACTTCCTCCAGGACACCTTTCAAGGCCTTGGTGGCTGTGCTGACTCTCCCACAATGCCTGTGCTGGGAAGGAGGGAAGGATGCACACAGGGTGGTTTTCTCGTGTTGGCTGGGTTAGGTATTCCCATGGGAAACAAGTAGGGCAGGGCTGGTGAACACATACCCACAGCCCAGCAGAATTGACTGTGGGTACAGAGACTGATTACAGGAAGGGAGTTTCTTGGAACAGAGTCAGCTGAAAATTTGAGCCAATGTCTCTTTCCAGTAGCTCCTTCTGTGTTTCAGTATCAGTACTTTCTATTAGTTCCCCTGTATATTTTATTTTCTTACAGCATTTTTTTCTGTTTTTAGAGAAAGAGTTTGATTTGTTTTGAAGTGTTGAAGTACCATTTGTTCAGTTTCTGTTACTTTTAGCACCAGATTTGTCCTTCCTACACTCCACGTAATCTTTTTTTCCTGTAGAGAGACGACCTGAGTGTTCGAGGCAGGTCCAAATGCAAAATCAATAAAAGCTCATTGCTGTACATGTCATGGTATTAGAGCTCAGCAAGTGAGACTCTGGTGGGCAGGATCTTGCCTCCAGCCCCCTGTCAGCCAGTGACCACACTGGGCTTTGCAGCCGGGGCACAAAGAGAGAAGTGGTGTTCTGCAATTCCATTGTTTCAGCAATGGAATTAACGTGGCTCTGTAATTTATATGTGTTACCAGCAAGTCACAATACTCTCCTTTCCTTCTGAAAATCAAACAGACCAGACTTTGGAAACCTTTTCTGCAGGGATCTTACTCATTGACTATGAGACAGGGTATCTAAAGAGGTTGTTCATTAATTATTATTGTTATTAATGAACCTGTATGTTGCCTCTTGACACTCCTCAGTACTGAGTACTTGGGATTTGTGGGTTCTTTTCTCCTTTAGCCTTCCAGTTTCTTTCAGAAAAGTAATGTAAAAGAGAGACTTGCTTGTGTTAGGATTTTTTTTTTCATTCCTTAATTCTGCAGACGTTATTTTTTGAGTCATCTAAGAGATGAATTTTGAAGGTTGTGAACTTTGCAGTTTGCTGGGAAATCCTCTTCTGTAGCCAGCAGAGTCAGATTTATTATCTTTCCTGCAGTTCTTTCTGGAAGGGGAAAATACATGCATTTGTTGGGCAAACTGGTTCTGGGCAATAAGAACAAGAAGTTTAAAAAATTAAAACAGACATAGAAGGCACTGTAGCATCAAGGCTGTATTGTAGATTAAGTAGTTTCTGTCTTTTATTTCATTTCTAATTTCTGAAATGCAAATAGAATTTTTACATATTCAATGAGGCTTTTTGCATTTGGAGTTTGGGTTTTGCTGTTTGGGACGCTCTTGCCAAGAAATAGGCCAGTAAGACCAGCTTCCAGCACACACTCTGCCCGAGGCATTCCTCATGGCCAGCATTTCAGACACTCGCTGCCCCAGCTCGAGATCTGTGGGGATAACCTGGTGCCTGGAAAATGGTACATAAAGAGTGAATGTCGATTACACACCAGAAGTTGCATAAATAGGGTAGGGGGAGGTGTTTTTATGACACCATCTGCCTCTCTGATCTGGAGCCCCCGTGTAAAACCGTGGCTCAAGCTCTTTACTATAAGTTAACAAAAGCCTTTAAATAGGGTAACTAATGGGCCAAACGTATCTTCACTTGTAAGGTTAAGACCCACAAGTCATCATTTGTAAGAAAGTGGGGGGTGGATTGGTCGCTGGAGAGGAAAGACATTAAATTAAATGTGGTGAAGCAGCCACATGGGACCCCTTAATAGTTTCTGAGTATTATTTTTTCCTAATGAAATTCAGCTTAATGCAATCCCACCCTCCTAGCCTGACAAACATCGACTCTGGCCTGCTGAAGGTTGTCAAGCCACTGGTGCCTTTTAAATGATTCTGGGCACCCTCCGCTCTCTGCTGCTCTCTTGTCACTTACAGCCCCTGGTTTTTGACATAAACAAGGGAGTATGTCAGTGGGAAGCTGGGCCTGTCAGGCCTTTCAGTTTTGCTTTTCACCTGGTTGCTTGCTTACAACAAAAAGTAAGATCTATTTTAGCGTGGGTTGTACGGAGACCCAGCGATGCATTAAAACCAGGCAGCAAAAGTGGGGGGAAAAACATCTGCGGAATATGAAATATGAATGGGGATCTGAGCCTCTGGAGGTCACACTTGAATGAGCAGCGTTACATGAGGTGGATCCAGTGAGCCTCAGCCCTGGGTTCATCTGCTGGTCAGCACTCCGAGGATGCATTGCTTTTTTGGAGCAGTGAGCAGAAGTGGGTCAAATGCAGGCACCTGATTGATTTTAAGAGCCATTATAGAAACGCTGAAAGAACTTGGATCTTAAATAGGTCTTTTTGCAAAACCAAAGGCCACAAACCATCCTTATAATTTTTGAGTGTGTGTTTAAACACATCCAGAGCAACACTGCTACTGACCATTACTCATCAGCAGCATCTTCATGCATGAAGTGCTGGGCTCTCTCCTCTAATAGCTCGGGCTTGATTTCTCTTAGGAAGGGAGTTTAGTATGTATTTCTGTAGCCTCCCCTGAAGAGTTCATCCCTCACCATTCCTTGCTTTCTGTGCAGGAACTGTCATTTTTCCTGCTTTCAGTTTGGTAGGGAAGGAATGATACTCCTTCTCCTCAGACCTAGGGATGAATTGGACCAGAGACTCCTGCACACAGCTCATTCCAGAAGAACCTGCCCACCATTTGGGGAACACTTACATGTTAGTTTTAATGTTTCTAGGTGCCGCAGATGTTGCAAAATAGTTTTCTGCAAGTTGGCCCTTCCTGTAGGTGCCTTCAGCGCCTGTTCAGTGTGTGCTCAGTGGCTGTTCCTCCTGTTGCTTGGGCTAATTGCTAAAAGATCCAGATATGTACATCTCCTTGTCTTTTCTTCCTCCACACCACTGAAGCACGCTTGCTTCTGCAGTCTCTTTGCTGTTTCTGGTCTCCAAGGCAGTGCTAGATGGAGCCACTGCTCTGCCTCGTGGGTCTGCAGAAAGCTGGCAGAGGAGTTGCCATGTTCTTCAGGCAGAGCAGCCTCCTGTGTGTATCACACAGAGCACCCTGTTTGAGAACCCAACAGGCAAGGAGGGGGGCAGAGGGTCTATTATTGCCAGGCTTTGCTTCTTGGTGCTGAGGCACAGAATTTAAATGGCTTGTCAAATGTCTGCAGCATTGAGGGTTTCTGCCTTTCTTTGGTTTTTTTCCCCTCTCTCTCAGTCTTTTATTTCACTGAATGATTATTGTTTCGAGATAAAAAATGCTTTTAGTTCTGGCCAGCAAGTTTTTAGCTTTTGTCTTCCTTTTAGAAGTATTTGAAGAGGAGACAATATCTAATAGTGTTACTGAGATAGGAGCTGAGCTCAGTAGGAACACCAGGGAAGTTGATTGGACCTGAGGAGCGGCAGGAAAAGAAAACTAGAGTTGATAAACCCAGACTGAAAGATTTCATGTTATCACATAAGTATGTGTGGAAGAAGGTCACAATATCTGTCACCTCAAACTAAATGTGCTTGGAAGTGAATGTAAGCAATGTATCCCACTACATCAGTATCCATAGTGTCCCTCATGCTATTGTTTTCTTGGTTTGCTTTGGTGTTATATTAATTGTGCATATGCAAAGTGAATGTATTTACCTGGGTGAGTCCCTTACTGTAAGTTAAATGCTTATTAACTATGGTAAGGATAGTCCAACAAAGTCTGCCAAATCCTCTAATAAAAGTAGAGAGCACTTACAAACCTCTGAGATGGATGGTGAGGTTTAAAATGAGCCTGTTGCCCTGCTGTGTGCTGCAGCTATTGCCTGGCTTTAATTCTGGAGCGAACTGCTCAAAGTCTACCCTTCCTCAAGGGCTTTGCTAATCAACGTAATCTGCTTTATGCAACAGGACTAGAAGTCTAATTGATGTGTCTGCATAAAAGAAGACTCTGATAGTGGAACAGAATTTCATACCCCAGTTGGCATCTCAGCAAAGAGGCATGAGAGTGACCAGGCGTGAAGTCAGAGTTACCTTTATACCCCCGGTGGCAGTTCTTGCCATGGGGGATGCTCACAGTGCCCAGCTCACTGCTTCTGCAGGCAGCAAAGCTGTCCAGGCTGGCACTGTTTCAGCGTAAAAACTGTCTGGGGAGACACAGAGGATGCTGTAGTCCAGCAGAATCCCTTTGAAAACTTCTCAGAAAGTTAAATCCCACTTGTTGAAAGACGTGGCATCTGCTGTGATGAAGTCGCGTGTCAGCGCGTGAGCGGTCGCTCGGCTCAGCGTGTGTGTGGCACTTCAACGTGCTGAGGGCTGTGCCTGGGAACCCAGCAAAGAGGAGCAGAATTGGGTCAGTGCTTTTTGTAAAGGTGGTTCCCTAGGGGCAGTTCCCCCCCTGAGCTGCTGCTGTAAGGCTTTTGTCTCTTCTCCCACCTGCAAGAGTCCTTGCAACAGCTGCAGAACGTGGATTTCCATCAGACTCAGCTGTGTCCTGGAGAGATCCATCTCCATATTTTTCCTCAGGGGAAGCTGATTCTTTGATTGCACATGCTGTCCCACCCAGGGTAGGCTCTAGCTAGGGACATTAGTAATAAATAGGTGTCTCTAGAGGGGCCTTTCAAGCTGGGACCACTCTGTTTGGTCTTATTTTGGCAACAGAAAGGTGAAAGGCCAGGGAATTCATCCATATAAGGAATCTCTTAGGAAAGATAATATATTGTGTAATTAAATAACTGCCCCCACAAGGTTTTCAGGGGTAACAAGCTGTGCTCAAAATTAAACACAAGTGTGCTGCACTCACACTACAGCCTGCTTAAGGCAGGTGAAAGTCCTTGAGGTTATGGAGAGGGAACGATACTGTAATTCTGGCCTCTTCTTTCTGAGTGTCAGTGGAAGTTGTAGGCTCACAACTGGGTATGTGTGCAAACCCCATCTTAAACCTTTGAACTTGTTTTAAGCTAATCCATTTGTGCTTAATTTACAAACAGCTGGTTGATTTAAAGGGATTTTCATGCTGGAGTAAACAAGAAGAACATTTACACAAGGAGTAAACCATCCCGCTGTAAATTCCCTTTGCAGTTGTTATAGCTATTTGTTTGTATTAGATCTTAACTTCCTCGGTGCAAAGCTAATCCTTCTTGATCCTACAGTGAAGTCATGATCCTGTGTTTGATGTCACCATCTGTTGCCATAGAAGCAACTGTGATGTTGCAAATTAAACTTTATGACTTCATGGCAAGATAAAAGCACATCTTCAGCTGCTTGCAAAAGTGGTTCGGAATATTTCCATGAAGTGAATGGAAAATATGCCAGTTTACATTTTGTCTAAATACAGTTCTTGGAAAGTTTGTGAACAGTGAGGGCTTGGAATTATATATTGTATGAAAGGGAGGAAAAAGAATCCGAGGCTTGTATCAAATTTGAGCTTTAAAAAAAAAAATCCCCTGGCAAGTAATTGATCCTTGGCAGGAGCCCTGCTGTTAAAAGGTTAGTATGGTTGCAAACAGGACTGAAATAGAAACAATTTAAAACTCAAAGCACTGTACAGATACCACCTCTTCTGTCTGTAGAGAAAAGCTCTCATGGTCTCATCTGGTTGTGTGCAACAGCCATTGATAATGGTAGTTGAAGTCATTGTCACATAAATATCTAGTCAGGGGTTACAAAAACTTGAACGAGAATGTGATGTTCTTTTTTTTAAATTGCTTAGGAAGTTAAGCCTTGATCACACTTGTAGGTGTCTGACTCAGTTTGAGAAAAATCTTCCTTTTCATAAATTAGAAGAGTTTTTTATCTAAATGGCATAAGAGGGAAGAAAGGCGTGAGTGATTCAGTGGTGCAGGAGAACAGGGCTGCACTTCCATGAGGACCAGGCAAAGGCCCATGTGCTACTCATAGCCCTCACTCTGCCCTTCTGCCAGGAGGAAGAGGCTGCAGAGAATGTGAGCCTAAATGCAGAAGTTTTTGTTTTCTTTTTTATATACAGAAGAGAGGGGGATAGTATAATTTTTCTCTCTCTCTCTGCTAGTAGGGAAAAGAGCTGCTAAGTCCTAAATTAGGAACTTATTTATTTATTTTAAATTGGGCCTATCTCTTTCCTGCTATCAGTCATTTTCTTAAAATTTCTGAGTTATTTCCCTCTTAAAAATGGATACCCATCTTCAGTATCTTTGAGTGACAAAGACTAAATCACATTGCTGGTGCAATCCAGAGTAAGATACTGATGTCAAAACTAACTTGACACGACACAGTCTCATGAGAAAGGTGAAAGTTGCCCAGTGAAATTCAAGGAATTTTGTACCTACAGGCACCTGTTGTAGAAGCACAGCCTTGATTCTGTTCATCTGCCCTTGAACAGGAATGCTGTACCTACCAAATACCACACGTGCTTATCTTCACCTGCTTGCCCTTGTCTGGATTTGAGGATGGTGGCTCAAAACAGATGGTTTCCAGACCCTCTGGTTTTAATTAATAAAATTAAAAAGAAAAGTCAGTTTGAAGTGGTTACAGTGAGGACTCAGGAGGTAACACGTGGGGTTTGTTTGCCTTTCTGTTAAAAGGCTGAGCATCTTGGGGAAGAAGCAGGGTGTGTTGTCCATCCTGTTGGACTGCTGCAGCCTTGTTCCCACTGGTGTATTTCTGGTTAAATTATTTAGATCACTGAGTTCACTTCTCTGATAAGCACACAGCTCTGATAAGTGAGTTAAAGGATTACTTGAATCATATTTTTAAGGGAAGGCATGAATTCTGGATTCTTTTGCCATGTCTTTCCTCATCTCTGAATATCTCCAAGGAACATGAAAGTAAAAAGTAACATCCAGGGACCCCCAGCAGAATTAGATTCACTTTAAACATGACACATGCTCTATATCCCTGGGGCAGGCACTTAATTTTGTAGTGTTTCAGACTTCTATGACATGATGATTGATTTTGTAGAGGTGAAGTTGCTTTAGTCATTAGTTAAAAAGCCTGATAAAGCTGCACGAAGATATTAAGTTGTTACCAGTCGCTGGTGTCTCTTTGTTCTCCCCCAGCCTTTACCCCACATTTGAAAGGGAAGGAGGAAGACAGGCAGGAGGCTGCCTCCCTTTCAGTCTGTCAGGGTTTTATTAGAGCCTGGCTCTCATGTCAGCGCTCTGCTGAAGCCCAGGTTTGCACCAGATGATTAATGGGGAGCAGTGAGCTCAGGCTGACAGGCTGTGCAGCCAGAGCCTGAGCCCCCAGCCCAGCCAGCCAGGCCTCTGCTTGAGCCCAGGACTCTGCCTGGTCCTCCCTGCCTGCCCTGTCCTCCTGCCTGCCCTGCCCTGTCTTCCCTGCCTGCCCTGTCTTCCCTGCCTGCCCTGTCCTCCCTGCCTACCCTGTCCTCCTGCCTGCCCTGCCCTGTCCTGCCTGCCCTGTCCTCCTGCCTGCCCTGCCCTGTCTTCCCTGCCTGCCCTGTCCTCCCTGCCTGCCCTGTCCTCCTGCCTGCCCTGTCCTCCCTGCCTCCCCTGTCCTCCTGCCTGCCCTGCCCTGTCCTACCTCCCCTGTCCTCCTGCCTGCCCTGCCCTGTCCTGCCTCCCCTGTCCTCCTGCCTGCCCTGCCCTGTCCTGTCTGCCCTGTCCTCCCTGCCAGCCCTGTCCTCCCTGCCAGCCCTGTCCTCCTGTCTGCCCTGTCCTCCTGCCTACCCTTCAGCCTGGCTGCTCCCACCTTTGCAGGTGTGTGGCAGCCTGCAGCTGGAAATTGGTAGTTTTGGGGTTTTAGGTTCCTTTTCTCCCTCTTTGTGTTCCACTCCCTCTGTTGGGATTTAATTGGTTCTTGGAAATCTCTTCAGCATATGAATGGCAGCTCGATCCTCCAGGGAATTGAGGGCTGCCCCATGCACACACAATTGATTCTTGCCTTGATTGCATGGGGTTCTCCAAGTTTTTTTTAATTATGTATTTTCTCTGAATCACAGAGATATTTCTCTTGATTTCTCGTGCTTTCTCGTGCTTTCTCGTGCTTTGTCTTTTCAACCATCAGTGTCCTAGGGGTTGGGTTTTTCATTCTGAATTCCCTTTTTATCCCTGCCATTTGCACTTGCAGACTAGGGGAAATCTTCAGTACAAGCTTCTTATTTGATTGTGGTTGGGAGTATTGTTCAGGTTATCATCGAAAGATCAGAAGTATGTTTTGTGGATAGGCTTTTCCAGCCAGAATAAGCTTGTATCCTTATGATATGGCTGATGAAAGGATAGTGCAAGGTATGAGTGGATAATAACTTACAGAAGGTGATCAGGTGATCATCAGGTCACACGGTTAAGAACAGTAAAACTGTGCTTGATTTATCCTACATGCATCACAAAGGAAAGATTCCTGTTTTTTCAGCCTGCCAAGCAAAGCTGCCGAGAGCTTCAGACACCTCACTGTGGCAATGCTGTTGTAATGGACTTAATTTGGACAGGGGAGATATATTTTTTTATTATTTTTCTCTAGGCTTCTGTTTTGATTTTACTTTTCCATAATGTAAGAGCATTCTTGTCATTCTGAAAGTTAGGTCCTTTCTGTATCCAAGTGCAACAGAACAGATGTATAAACATGTTGAAAGGACCTGTCATGCTTAAATTTTTTCTTACAAGGGACTTTCCCTACATCAGTTCCACTGAAGGGTTCTTCAGTGGGACACAGATATTGTACTAAAACCCAATTTAAATCTGTTTTGAGTAAGTTGTGTTATGTTTGTTAGGTTTTTTTAATTATTTTAATGAATGATGTATCATGTCAGACCATGAGGGTCTGCCTAGGCCCTATATCCAACAGCAACTAGACTGAAAGCCTGCAAAATAGCCCCAGGACAGGGCAAGAATATCATTATCGTAGATGTGTTGCATCCTCAAAGACTTCCCGGAGTCAGAGGTGACACCTTTGGCTGTTACTTCCATTAATTTTTCTAATTTAATTCTCTTGGCACTTCCAGCGTTCTGTGAAAATGAGTTTCACAGTCTTAAATAAATAACTGTGTGAAGAACTGCTTCCCCAGCCCTTGTGAACTGGCCACCTGCAAGCTCCATTTGCCACCCCCATTCCAGTCCCAGGTACAGTGGACAGCTGATCTCCAGGAATCTGCTGTGTCACAACATTCCATAGCCCTTGTCCATGTGCCTGCTTATTTATCTCTGTTTTAGGCTGAAAGTGTTTTCTAGTTCAGGTGAATCCTTTTTCAGATGGTAAGAAATGTCTGTGTCTGTACTTCCATCAGAGTTACAATTCCATGTTTGCTTTTCTGTTCTTACTTCCTGTAACTGTCTTTGCTTTTTGACAGTTGGGGAGCACCAAACTGGCATTTCTATTCAGAAGTCTTGTTAACTCTCAAGGCTGGGTTCTGAAATGACCAATTTATAGCCCATCACAGCATATGTAGAGTCAGGATTACATTGCGTGTATTATTTAACATTTTTCTACCTGAGTTTCATCTGCCCTTTTATTCCTCACATGTGTAGTAAGGCCTTTCTGCAACCCCTTGAAATACTCTCTTTCCTGTCTTGATGTTCTGGTACCTGTGAACTTGGTGTCACGAGTCATCTCTTTTCATGTCGGCTGGGAATGTGTTGGGAGAGACCCCAGCACAGATCCGTGTGCAGTTTTCTGTGTGCCTTTGTGCTCCTAAGAAAAGCGACCATCCTTACCCTGTATCTGTGTTTAAAGCAGTTTTCCCACCTCTGCACCCACTGAAGCTTCTTTTTTGGGACAGATGTGGTTCTGAATCTACACTTTCTGCTTAGGAAAACACCGAGGTGACCAATGACACAGGTGAGGGAGACTCTTGGAATTCACTGAATGGTTTGTGTTGGGAGGGACTTAAAGCTCATACTGTTCCAACCCCCTGCCATGGGCAGGGACACCTTCCACTACCCCAGGTTGCTCCAAGCCCCATCCAGGCCTTGGACACCTCCAGGGATGGGGCAGCCACAGCTTCTCTGGGCAACCTGTGCCAGGACCCACCACCCTCACAGTGGAGAATTTATTCCGAATATCTAATCTAAACCTTGTTTTGGTTTCAGAATGAGTTGTAGGATTTGTTTTCCAGGCATGTAGGCAGAGCAAGGATTAACTTTGTTGCTCAAATGCTATTCTAAAGAAGCTTTTCAAATAGGGAAGTCTTTAGTTTATCAAGCATGAAAGCGAGTTTGAAGAAGAGGTGAAAAATACCTGTTTCTCCTACTGATGCGTTACAGGTGTAAAACTGCTGTTTGTGCATCACATAAATCCATTTGCCATATAAGTAGATTGGAGAATGCCAGATTCTTGTATCAAAATACTCTACTAAATTTAATTTAAACTCCCTAAGATGGATAATGTTCACTAAAGGTTCAGTAGAAAAGGAAATACTTAGAGCTAAAAGTGTCAAGCTTTTCTCAAGCTCCTCAAGGAGTTTCTGATCCTCTTCCTTTCACCCCCAGTTCTCACTCTCATGCTGTCTGGTTGTGCAGAGCTGTTCAGAAATAAAGCTGATCACTAGCTTATTGATAAAAAATAATGCCAGTGTTCACTGTGGACTAACTGTTTTCCAAGCCATTTTACTCCTTCTCATTTCAACAAACATGAC